TTTCTATATGCCCAGCATAACCGATCCTTTTTTTTATCATTAAAAGGGGTGAAAAAAAAAAAGAACTTCTGTTTCTCTCAAGCTGTGCATATTGAGGATACATCTTTATTTTCGATTTCGAACTTGTCCAAATCTCTTTTATCCAACGGTTAAATAAATCTAGCTATTAGCTTGGATGAACCAAGAAAAAAAAAAAAAAAACCTTCAGCTTGGATAACACTAAATACTATCAAAATCTTCTTTTCACATATTGCATCTCTGGCAAATTAAATCTTATAAAGCAATATCCGATTGAACCCTATATCCATTAATTCTTTTAATTTATCTCTGGGGTTTCTTCTCTTTTCTATCTCTTCTCTTCTTTATTTCTGTTTTTTTATATTTAATTAGTAAAAGGTTCGATATATACGTGTATGTGTGTATTCTGAACTGGATATAATTTTGCTTTGGCGCCCAAAATATATCAAACTTGACTATCAATAAAGCCTCACTTGGAATATAAATTTCCTCCTATTATTTATTACATGTAAGTAGTCTAAAACTTCCTTCACTCTCTATATTTTATTCGCATTGTTTAAAGTTTTGAGATTTTTTTTTTAGTTTTTATTTATTGAGATTACATCTTAAACAAGACATCCATAATCCAATATATATATAACGATGGTGACGGTGATAAAAAAAACATTAACTAAAAATTAAAACAACTAGAGGAAACAACTTCACCTTCTTCCTTTTTAAGTCTCATATTTTATTTTATTTTCTTTTGATTTAATTTTGTTGATCTTTTATTTTCAATTATATGTTTAATATTTTATTACTTTTGAGTTGGTCTTCATATAATTTATTTTGATTTGATTTGTTTAAGATTATCGTGATTTTAAATAATTATTCTAATATTTAGTTGAAGCTTCATTTTAGTTGCACATTATCGTATCATTAAGTAAAAAATAATTTAAAAAATAAGATTATTAAACTAGTAGAGTCCATGATATGAACTGGTTGCACATTATCATATCATTAAGTAAAAAATAGTTTAAAAAATAAGATCATTAAACTAGTAGAGTCCATGATATGAACTTCATGAATTTGGTGGGTTAAACAATGAAGGAGGTGGCCTTTTTTTTTTCTTTTTAATTTCATCTTCCAATCTTTTTTCTTTGGATTGAGTCCTTTTTGCCTATTTTATTTTAAATTTCTTCCTTTAATATTTTATTAATTTTATATTGATTGTCATAATTTATTTAAGATTTTATCGTAGTTTCAAACTAATATTCTAGTATTTAGCTAGTACTTAATTTTATGAGCATTTATTTTTGTTATTATATCATTACGTAAAAAAATAAAGTTGTTAAACCTAGTGAAGTTAAAAAATATTTTTAAAAAAAAACCCAAACTAATTTTCAAAATAGGTCATGAGATTAAAATAACTTTATAAAAATAAAATTAAAATAAATTATGAAGTTTAGTTTCTAATTAACTAAATATTGATGAATGTGATTAAAAAACTCAAGTTAAGCCAATGTAATTCACTAAATTCATGACCTGGATTATAAAAGGATAATAATCTCTTAAAAAATAAAAATAAATTATGAAATTCAACCTCTAATAAAACCTGAAATCTAATATCGGAGGATTATAAATAAAATAAAAAAAACACTTTGTGAGAAGGTGAATAATAATTTAATCTTATCGTATAGATTTTGTTAATTATGTAGTCCAATTTCTAATAAATTTAATATTGAAAAAAAAAAAGAAGCATTGTAGAGGTGAACAGTGCTTGGTGTTTATATATAAAACAAAGCTGGTTTTGTTTTTATATATATAGATATCTATCCTTTTTTAGAACAAAAGGTCCTGTTTCTCACCTATATCGTTATCAAAATCAATAATCAAATACAACATTCCATGGGTTTTTAAATCCAAGACAATATCAGTGGATGCGAAAGAATTAATCCTGCCCCACTTTTTCTTTTTTTTTCAATGCAAGTCAAAAGCTAACACCTTTTGGTTGATTTTCGGAAGTACTTAAATGCGTAATTCCAGTATGAATGAATTAATTAATCAGTAGAGTACAATGTTATACCGACAAAAAGAGGTCATATTTGAATATAATGCCACTCGTTCAATCCTAGGGCATTGTCAGATTGACGAATGCATGTTCATTAACTTAATATATATATAGTAACAGAGGGAGAACATTATTAAGATTTAAATACAAATTGATTAAAAAAAACTTACAATGAAAAAAAAATAAAAAATAAAAAAATGTTAATCTTGAGCATTAAACTACCTTAACACACAATCTGAATATCTAGCTAAATCAATACATGTATTTTGAAATCTAGCATGAAGTTATTGAGCTAAACATTAAAAAGTTATATCATAAATTTTATTATGATAGGATTAATAATATTAAAAATTAATTTATTACCGATAACCCAAATAAACCACAAGATACTATAACAAATGATTCTATTCTTGAATAAAAAAAGTTGTACACAAATTATATTCAATCCATTGCATAAAATGATTCCATGCATGTTCATTCAACTTATTATTATTCGGAGTCATGAATGCCACAAGCTATCAATCACACTAACAAAAACGTATTAATTAATCTTACGTGAAAACTGAAAGATCAACAAGTTGATTCCAATTAAGGACAGAATCAAATTGTTTCCAATCTCGATCATACATAAAATTTTCAAACAAGGACTAACTAATGAGAATAAGAACATCATGAGTTTGGCGTTTCACTTTTATATGATTTATAATAAAATAATCATTTAATTATAAACACACACACACATATAGTTGTGAATCAGAAAGCAGGAGATAATTTAGCACGTAATATGACTGTGACTCCACCTAAAATCCTAGTTCTCCATATAAGTTTATTTTGTGATATGGAATTAAGACTCTTAATTTATTATGCTTATTGAAGGATCATATATATTATAGAGAGGAAACATGAGGTGGGGTTGGGAAGAGAAGAGCAATCAAGGGATTAAAGAATATTAAAGACTCCTTTCTAAGTTTGGATATCATATTTGAAATGGAAAATTATAATATCATTTCAAAATGGAGACTTAGGGGATAAGAGGACATGTTACACTCTCATTGCTTGACATGTGGAATCTAAGAAAGTCTTAAGTTTGAGCTAATTAATATATTTATTCCAATTATATCCTAAAGTCTTGAGATAAATATACTTTACTTATTGGATTTACAAGCTAAATAATATATTGAATTAGATAGTGATGTTAACCAACTAATTAAGTAAAGAGGACAATAAATTTTTATTATTATTTAAAATACATAATTATTATATCATTTCAAAAATTAACAACTATTTTTTTTCGTTGGATGATATTTATTTAAGTGATAATTACGTTGTAAAAATTAAGTGATAAATATCAATTTAAATAGTCAATATTCTATGACTATCTTTTGTTACGTATACAGTATTAAAGCTCCCACCTCACCTTTCTATGGTTTTATTTTTCATTATAGATATAGTGATGTGAGTAATTGTTTTAGTGGATAATATCAAGGATAAAAAAGTAGTATTTAAATTAAAATTAAATTAATTGCACAAATATTATTCTTAAACACAAATTAATCCCATAACAAATACAACAAACTTCAATATCAAAATATTTCTTTTATAATACGAATTGACCACTATATATTTTTGTAAATCATATACTCTTGGGTACGCTATTTCTATCTTCCTTTATAGATTTATTTAATGCTAAATCTTATACTTTTTTGTATAGAATTTATATCCATTATTTTTTAATTATAAATCGTGTTACTCAAACAATGGTGGGAAATTTGTCTAGTTGATATGGAATCATAGATAATTTGGGTTTAGAAGAGAGAAATCATAGGTGCTACTACTAGAGCTACAAACTCAATAGCCTTGATTAGAGTAGTAAAAATATTATTCAAGCCTAAATTTCTCTCTCAAATCGGCTAATGATATATTAACACTAAACGTTTTCCTTTTTTATGATGAAGGAGATTTGCTCACTCCATTAACTCTCAAATCAGTCCAGTTTTTTAGATTAACTACTGGATAATATTTAGTTTCATTAAATGTACAAGCTAGTCCAAGAATTGAATAAAAAAGACAACCCATATTTTTTCCAAGGCAGATTAATGAGTCACTTGTTACTAATCCTTTTGTCAGAAAAAAATGGCCATAAATACCGCTCACGCTTGATGTTTCTTTTTAATTGGAAAGAAAATCAAGAGTGCGTCCACATAGAGGGTGTAAAGTCTATGTCCTTGTTGTTAGATGAATTTATCGGCTGAATACTATACAGAGGAGGTAGTTAGGAGCTGATTTCTTCGGGGATGTGCGTAAAGGTCCATTTTCCTGTGATCCTAAGCAAACTTTAGCCCTTTAGTTTGTATGCACAGTACTTGTATTCTTCATCGATTGATTAATATTAATAGTTTGATTAAATAATAGCTAGATTGCTAATTACTTTAAACTATTTTGAAAACTTTATTAATTGCAAGCCAGACATATTCTTCTACGTGGTAATTAATTAATTTGGCAATGTCAAAGCTACTTCCTCTGGAATACTTACGCGAGTAGGCATTAGTACAAAGCTATACCTACATTGGTCTAATAATCCTTGAAGGACCAGACTGGGTTTCTCACGAGAAAACACCGTTGCAATGATGGCGATTCGAAAGTTAAACAGAAAAGAAGTAATTGGTTATGAAGATTGGATTTTGATAATGGATCACAATGAGTGGTTTAATAATTAGGAAATTAACAAACCCTAGGATGTGAAAAAGTAGTCAATATATCGATATATAATCATGCTTATGGGCTATATATATATAATTGGTTGGAATTTTAGGATTTTGTGAAAAGTAGCACCCACCGTGGTCTGAGTCCAAAGTAGAGTGTGTGAATTAAAAAGTTTAGTATGAGTTGTTGAGTAAGAAATGCACACGTTAGAGTTCACAATAGAAAGAAGATATAGCAGCCGCAGGAGGAGGAGGAAGGAATCAAGTCCCAAACTTAATTTATTTACTATCCTCTTGTTCTCCCTTTCTCACCCTAGCTAGCTAGTTCCCTACCCGCACGTCCACAAAAGAAACACCCTCTTCTTTCTCTCTGTCCCCTCTTCCTATAGCCCCTCAAGGTCATTTTCTCACTTATACCTCACACAAAAGAAACAGCCATTCACTTCATACCTTGTCATTTCTTCTCTCCCTCATCATCTCAATCTCGAACCCCTGCAACTACTCCCGTCAATTTGAACCAAAGAGAGAAAACCCGGAAATCTCACCTGAAAATCTCTCAACCCTTTTGCTTAAATTGTCCATGATGACCCTCTATATCTTCGTCTTAATTTCTTGATCCATAACAAATATACTCTCCTACTGCACTGCACTTACAAGAAAACGTAAGACAAAAGGAAAAAAAAGAAAAATTAAGGAGGAGATAATTAAGAGGCCAAAAGGGCTTGTTTGGCTGCTTAAAGATGGAGCTATTCCCAGCACAACCAGATTTATCTCTTCAAATTAGCCCACCAAACAGCAAACCCACATCAACATGGAGGAGAACAGAAGAAGAGATGGATTTGGCGTTTTGGAATAGAGCTTTAGACTCAAGAAACTCTATGTCTTCAATGGAAAACTCCGATACCTGTTTTGAGCTCTCGCTATCTAATCCAAGGGTTTCAGAACCAAACTCCAACCATCTTCACAATATCTTGCAAAATACTAACAATTGTAATGGTAACAGTCTTTTCCACTCCTTTCAGAAAAACCAATACACACACCCCCATCACAAACAAAACCGCCTCCATAATCATCATCCAGTACTGTTTCAGCCGCAACAACAAGAAGGGCTAAGCCAAGAGCTTGGTTTCTTGAGACCCATTAGAGGGATTCCTGTCTTCCAAAACCCTCCTCCTTTTCCTTTCTCTCAACAAACTTTAGATAATACTTGCTCTCAAGATGCTTCTTTGGCTACTACTAATAACACCAGTGCCACTACTTTAAGTCCCTACCGGTCTCAAGGGTTGATGAGATCAAGATTCATGTCAAGGTTTCCAGCAAAAAGAAGCATGAGAGCACCAAGGATGCGTTGGACTACCACTCTCCATGCTCGCTTTGTTCATGCTGTTGAGCTATTGGGTGGCCATGAAAGTATATGCTTCATTTTGTTTCTTTCTTTTTCTCTAACCTTCTTTTCTAGCTTCTCCTTTTTATCTTTTCAGATTTTTTTTCCTTTCTTCTTTCACCTTTCTTGTTCATTTCTTTACCATCTTCAATAACATAGATAAAAAAAAGGAACTTGGAAAAGAAATTTAACTCATGTTTTCCTATCCTTTTCCTTTCTTGTTTCTGGGGTTTAGGGGCTACACCCAAGCTAGTTCTTGAGCTTATGGATGTGAAAGATCTCACTTTGGCACATGTTAAATCACATTTACAGGTAATTAAAGCATACTCTCAACTGGTTTATCTCCCTGCTTGCAGTGTTTAAATTCCTTTTTGTGAAGTAAAGAAAGAAAGAGATTTTTGAAATTGTCGTTTTTCTTATTGTCTTTATTTTCTGTCTTACCTTCTAACTAGACTTGTTGGCCTGAGCTAATAGTGTTAAATTGATGCAGTGTTAATTGTACTTCTAAGCAGAATTTGCCTTTTAGGAGCCTACATTACAGGAAGGGTGTTTTATTACATTAGGTCACAAATTCCAAGGTTTCCCTGCACAGGGTCTCTCAAATCCTTAAGCACTTCTTTTCTACTCATTTTGGAAGAATGAACGAGAGAGAGAGAGAGAGAGCGAGCGAGCGAGTGGGGTATTATCGATTTCAGGAATCAAGTATGACCATGCCCCAGGAATTCAAAATGAGTCCTAGGCTCCTAGCCAAGCCGAGACAAGTTTGCACTCAGTCCATTTTTATTACTTTTAAAAACATTTTCTCTCACATTGAATGGAGGAGGAAAAAAAACACAGAACAAAACACCATCATTTTTCAATGATATGTTTCTCAGATGGGTTTATCAACCATCTTTTTTAACCATGGTTAATCTCATTCATGCATGCCACATCCCATATCTACATACATGCATGCATTTAGTAGGCAAATTAATACGTTCGGTACTTGCACTGAATATCTCTGATGCATGTATGCCAAACAGTATTATTGATCTCCATTTCTTGTTTTACCCTTTTGTGTTTAAGTTTTTTCGCAATTCTATTTGCTCTGTTAATCAATGCCCAGAAAGCCTAATTTGATGCTTCATCAAAAAATTAGTCTAATATTGGTCGTGAAATGTAATGAATGCAGATGTATAGAACTGTAAAGACTGATAGAGCAGCAGCAGCTCCTTCAGGTTAACTGTACCTCCCTATCTATATTATCTTTTATTTCTTGAGAATTTTCAGTGATGAGTATCCAAATAAATATTTATATGCAACAATATTACTTATTACTCTGCATTATTTTAATCAATGTTCCTTAATTAAGTCGGTCTTAAATATTACTGACTTAATTTAATTTCCCTTCTGTTTTTCTCTGTTTAATTATCATGTACAGCACAATCGGATGTGTTTGATAATGGATCATCTGGAGATACATCAGAAGATTTTATGCTGGACATTCAAAATCCTAGAAGGTTAGATATCTCAAAGCAACAGGGAAGACCAGGTGCTCACCAAGACAAGGACTATCACGCTCTCTGGAGCAATTCTTCAAGGTACTACCACTATACCATGCTTAATACTCCTTTGTCTACCTTTTTTATCTCATAGGTTTGTTACAGAATGCGTGCTTTATTGGATAATATAAGGGCAAATCATAAGAAAACAATAAAAAATAAATGGAATTCAGAACAAGCATAAGGAATTTGTAATGCAGTTCCCAGTTTCTAGTCGTTTTTATTTCCCTCTTCTCAGATCATAAGGTAACAAAGGCAAGATTTAAACCCGAAATCTTTCCCCTCTAACAGCTGTCTTAAGTGCTAGTTAGGGAAACTCAGTAACATTGAGTGACTATTTGCCCTTTAATTAATTTGCCATTTTGGCAACCCAGAAGTCCAGAATGGTCTTTGGTTATTTGTCATTGAATTATTTTTCTTTCTAGCTAGATGGAAGTCCCAAGAAAAATCAAGACAATTACGATTTCTGAAGTAGAGTTTGGAATACTTCCATGTAGTAAGGACAAAACAGATGAAACTTGCATGGATACTGTCGTCGTACTGGGTATCCTATCCTCCTTGTTCTGGTTTCTTGATCTAGATGTATAATGATTAATGTAAAATTAGGATTACATATGCATGTTAGATTCTTAAATTAAGTTGATATAAAATAAAAAAACCGAAGTGCTGTCTCTAGGACCATACCCTGTCTTCCTCTCTCCAGTCCACATCTCAACCTTATATTATATAAAAAACGGTTGCATGCAAGAAATACAAAAGGAGGAAGAAATGATTTCACTGCATTTTTCTGTCCGTCCATGACCATCACGATCACTGAAACTCCCATGATGGGGTAATTATACTCTTCCTTGTATCAGTGGGTGAAAAGGAAGTTTAAAAGAATCCACTCACTCTCCTCCATTATTCCAAGACATGAGAGTCCCATTTGACAAATCCACTTATAAAAATGGGGATATCTCTTTCCTTTGGATTTTGTGGGCTCAGATAGAGAGAACTATTAAATGGGGCCTATGGTTAGAATACTTAGTGTCAAAGCTAGACCCTGTGATGGTCCCATTATTGGAAAATCGTGGCGCCAGAGTTTTATGCCCTTTGAAACTTCCTTGCTATCGTTTGTTATGTGTAATGGGCTATCACATGGGTGAGTTCAACTTTATCTACAACTAACACAGAAATAAAATGTAAGAGTGAAGGAAACTACAAAAAAGACAGCAAATGATTGCTTTCTTTTCTTAGTTTTGCCTTTTCTTCTCTGCTTGGCTTCCACTGATAGGAAAATATTCTCTCAATCTGCTGGTTTGTAGCAGGGAAGCTTGGTTGCATGGAAAATTAAAGGATTCTGGTGGAAACTTACCCTTCCTCGAGGTACCAGATTTTCAAATCTTTCTTTCCTGTAATGTCCTTGATTTTCAAGATGCTGTGTCCGGCACGTAAATGTTATGTTGTTGGAATGAATCAAGAAAACCCGATTGTTTATTCTCTTTCTCCATCATGCCATGCCCGTTGGAAAGAAACAAGAAAGGCAAGGGGCTTTCACACTCTTGATAGCTCAGGTTATTCGTAAGCTGAAGGGGTAGTTTCGTAATTCTCTTAAAAAACGATTTAAGGAAAGGAGACTAGGTTTTTTTTCCCTTTGTAGCAATAGAGAATGGTTTTCTTATAATATAATGTGAAAAGCTTCCTGGCCAAAGAAGAAGGGGGGGAATGCAAGGAATTAAGCACATTTCATGCTCATGATTAAACAAAACCCTAAAACGTAAAAACCGAGCTCTCTTTTGAGTCTCCAGCCCCATTTTGTTGACCTGGATTCATATACGGTTCAGATCTATGTACTAGCCATAAGAGTCGTTAAGTAGAGTCAAATATGTAATTATAAAGGTAAGATCATATAATGCTAGTAAATAATTGTCCTGTTAGGCAGTCGTATTGGGAAATGCACAGTGGTCACACTCTGGCAGTCTTTCAAAATGTTTTCCTAGCTAGCAAAGTTTCTTTTTTCTTTGATAAATATTCTATAATTCCCAGAGCCATTGATTCCTCCCTTCACACACTTCCCTTGTGCTTCTCTGCTCTAAGTAATTTATTGACATAGCTACTTTTGTTTTCTTTTCATGGTTTCTAATTTCAGTTTTGAAATAACTTTTTTTTCTTTCTTCTACAACAGAAGGACGTGGATCCAAAGTGCTTGAGCTATGAGAGAAATATATCAGATGTAAGCGCATCAACCCTTTCAGGGACAAGCCTCAAGAAGCCTAATTTGGAGTTCACACTGGGCAGGCCACATTGATGTTATTTACTGTGCGCGCTACTCATTTTGAAATCATTTGTATCTCTGGAGAGGTGCTGGTGAAGAGGATCAGTTACCCAGGAGAGAAAATCGGAGAAAAAGTAAAGAGAGAAGAAAAGTAAAAGAAAGAAAAGAAAAGGAGAGCTAAAGAAAGACAAGGAAACAAGAGAGACAGAAAGCAACAAAAGGTGAAAGAGTGAAAAAGGCATGTCCTTCATATCAAGCTTTGCGATCCAAATCAACGTTTTATATTCCTACGTACGTCAATATGAAATCTAATTGATTTTATATGTTTGCACTCTCAGAGAAAAAGAGAGTGAGTGAGAGAGAGAAGGAGATATATTTATATATTTATATATATATATAGAGAGAGAGAGAGAGGGGGGGAGGGACCTTTAATTATCTTAAACCATGAAGTGATCCTTGGTAATTGTAATGGAGCACTTTACATTTATATAATTTATTTTCATATTTTTACCGAAGTGTTGGGGCTCTATTTCCATTCCTAGACGTTGTCACATGCTTTATACACTTTATGCACAAAGGAGAACAAAGACTTTTGAGCATATGAGCCAGGAAAGTATTGATAAAAAAATGCATGACAAAAATATAAAGTTGTAATATATATATATAAGTTATCTGCAAGAAAGATAGTTTTTCTATGCTGCATGTCTTTTCAAACCATTCTATATATATATATATATATATATGAAATTAAACAGTAATTTCTTCGAACAACAATCTATGAATACATCTTAATTAAGCATGTAAATCTCTTATCAACCCATCGAACATTTGTGTCAGTTCCCAAGAGTGCTTTTACTAGTCAAATCTCATGCTTTAATCAATAGGGATTTCTTTTATCTCTAAGGGAATTAATTTCCTTTCTGTCCGGCATTATGCTTTAGCACATTACATAAAGATTGACACAGATAATGCCGAAATTCTAAGCCTTTTATGTCATTCTAGGAACAAAATAGTTCTTGCAATCATTAACTTTTCCAGTGCACTTTAAATTTAGCATGGATAAAGCATAGAACTGTCATGACAATTTAGCTTTGCAAAAAGAAGATCGCACCTTACATGCCATTTCACCACGCACATAGGGAAGTTTCTGTGAAACTGCTGAAAAATCAATTTGTAATATTTAGAAATGAACTTTAAAGCTCTTAGATATGTGGAACTTTTGACCCGTCTTATTCTCCACTTGCTAAAGCGAGCGAACAAGCCTTGCACTTGAGCCTCCACATTTAGAAAAATTCAATTCAAGTTCTGTTAAATCGCAGCAGCAGCAGCATCAGCAATTTCGACTATTCCAATTCGAAATCTCAAAATTATGCCATGGAGTCCTTTCATTTTTTGGGTGGTTGTTCAAAACTTTTTTTTGTCTCTAGTCCCTTTACTTTTGATCCTTTTAATGACCCAGGCTTTAATTTCTTTGCACTGCTTTCTCGCCTTGGTGGCCTTTTAGCTTCCCAAGTGCATTTTTTTCCCTTTTCTTCTCTAACATGGAACATATATAGTACAAGTCCAGGAACAAAACTATTTCCACACAGTAGCACATTCAATAAAACTTCTTAGCTGGGTCAATGACTTGATCCCATTTATAAAGGATATTGAAGAATACCGGGTGGTGTTTTTTTCCTTAATTTCTTTTAGTTCAGATCTTGGGAATAGTATTTTAATAGAATTATTAAAACTGTAATAAAACAAACAATTTGCAGAGTTCGGTTAAGATATGCATTGTATTGAAAACAAAGCACAATACAATTTAAGATATCACTTATTAACAATAAACGAGTCGTGCTACTAGATCCCATTAAAGGATGATCCACCAGCGTCAACTGATGTGAGGCTCCTTAGGCCAAACAAAAACACCGTCCAAAGTTTTATCAAACGACGTACGTTTACAATAAACTATAAAACTAGGTCTATGAAGATCTATATCTTCTTGTTTAAAATTTTTTTAAAAAATCAAGTAAAATATCTAATTTTGAAGATCCAGAATTAAAAAAAAAATAAGTAAAATATCTAATTTTGAAGATCCAGATGTATAGACAAAGAAAAACAAAAACAAAAAGCCAAGAGGAAAAGGGAAAGAAGAAAATGGAGAGGGGAATATGAAGAAAAGACATGGGATCGCTGCCTCATAAGAGGATCAATATTAACATGACAAGTCATTCAATAATAGAATTTAGGGGAGGAAAAAAATCTTGGCATCCTGACATTTTAATTAAAAGAATACCCAATTGAAATTACGCATATGTTTGATTTTATTATTGAGATTTTAAAGCAAAATTATTTTTACATGTTTAAGTACAATACAATTTAAGAGAAACATATATTTTTTAGGCAAAATAAGACACCATTCAATAATTTTTTTTAAAAAAAAAATTGGATGCCCTGCGATTGATCACGTTAGTTCATATTGGGATCAGTTGCATGAAAAATTAATTAGGTGTTTATCATTGAAAATAGTTATTAATTATTGGTGAAGTATTTAGTGAATGTTATTGACCCGTTAGCAAAAAATAATTTTTAATGGAGAAAACAAATGCTTGATTTGTATTGAATATGGTATATGTTTGCTGACTAAAAAATATGACGTAGACCCTATACAATCCTATATATATATATATGCAGATTGTATACATAGAACGTACACGGTATTTTAACTTCTCATAACTCGAAGAAATACAACAAAATCCATCTGGGCTTCGGCCGAACAAGCTATCCCTTTTTTTAATAAAAAAAACTGTCCCATCACCTAGCAGCATGAAATTTGAAATGAAAAGTGCGCTTAAACCATAAAATTCAAGCAATATGCCAACTCTTAATGACCACATCAATTTAACAAGATCATTAGGTGTGTACTAATGGTCAAAATTGAAAATATTCAATTCCTTCTCTATCAAAATGGGTGGTATTTTCTAAACTCTCTCGAAGACAAAAAAAAAGGTGGTATTTTCTAAACTCTCTCGAAGACGACATATGATAAAAGGACAGCTCTGTCATAAGTACAATAGTGTGCTCTTGACTTCTTGTTGACTGATCGATCATTTAATATGCAAATTATTGCTTAAAATGTTGAGAACAATAATTCGAATAAAATCCCTCAGCGCTAGTCCTTGATAATTGCAGATTTGAAGAGAATGATTGAAATAGCTGTGAGGAAAAAGCCTAGAGAATGAATAGAGAAGACTAGAGTATGAAGTCCTTTGTACAGTGATATTCCTACCAAAATTTTGTTCTTTAGTCAAATGTGTTCATTCTATGAGTGCAGAATTTTATGCTTTTAGGCACATATTAGGCCAAATATAATGCTCAGTTTGTGAAAAAGTTTCAATTCCTACAATTAGTAGATAATACGAGGGCGTCCAACTGCTGGTTGTCCTTCTTGAATCACTACCTGCACAACTGGTGAAGCACCTATAATTAAAGAACATATTTTCAAAAATATTCGAAAGTACTATGGAGGTTGTTGATTTGTGGGAGGCTCGTTCTCTTTTCTCTTTTTTTCTCTTTCTTTTTGTCGTTTTTTTCATTCAGAAAGGACCAAAACTGAACTATACTACTCTCCCTGTAAAGTTGAAAGCTAGTTAGTGTATCCTAATACTGAATCTTCATTGTTCGAAAACTAGCGAGGACATTTAAGAATGGCTATGCACAGTTTTCGTTGTTGTGCTACAATGTTCATGCTGGGACCTTATAGACGTGTTTTTCAGATGCTGCTTGTTTCTGCGAGCTACGCTTTAATTTGTATCTTTTTGCCGACCATGTTTTTGCCGATTGGCATCATTTTAATGCAATCTATGGTTTATCCAAAAATAAATAAATAACAAGTTTGATTTGTGTCAATCAATGCCCTTAACTTATTGTATACTCAAATTCATCATACACTATCGAATTATTTGTCTATAGCAAGGAAAGAGAGATACGGTTAGAAAAACCTAATTCACCACTTAAGGTAAAAGATCAAAAAATATCTACGTGGTAGGATATAAGATTATTATTTACCTTATACTGCAAGTTAGATTAATTTTTTTAATGCAAAATAATGTTTGGATATTGTTGATATTTTTCTAGCATAAACAAAATTTAAACCATGTTAGGATTGACTTAATATGATTCGGTCAACTTGACAGGTCAGAAAACAACTTAAAGAATCTAAAAAAAACTGGAATGACTAGTAAAAACATAGTTTGCCAGAAAAAATTCAAGACTATGTTTGTTTAAAAAAAATATTAAAACAATAACATATTTAATTGACCCGGGTTTAACCTGTCAAATCTACAACCCTAGTCATAAGGCCATGATAAGCTCAAAAAAAAAATTGAAACAAATAATAAAGTTTAATTCTCAATAAATCCAATGTTGAAGGATGAAATTGAAAAATATTAAATTAAAAAACAAACACAAAAAACAACCTAAGTCAACCCGAGTTAAATCACCAAACTCCAAACATGTGCTATATGACCAAAACAACCTCATGGAAAGAAAATAAAAAAAAAATAAGTCAAGTCAATTTTGGTTCAACAACCAAACTTGTGACTAGGTTATATTATTTTTCTTTTCTTGGTAAAAGGTAAAAGTCAGGTAACCACATATATGAGGTCAATCTAGAGTAATTTACTGGAAGAAATTCTATATCTAATCAAATATATACAGATTAAGTTTTCACATGCAAATCCATATAATCAAGTTAAAATTAAAAATTTTGCTCGAAGAAAATAAATAAAACAAAGACAATGCATTCTTATCTATATGCTTTGTATTTTCAATCTTTCAAACATATATATTCACATGCCATAACATTACCAACATAGGCTCTCAAATCCCATTACCATCCTTGTTCCATTTTCCTTTATGTTTGAAAATATGCTTTAAGTTTTAGAATGATAGGCCATGACATTCAGAGAAAGGCCTTAAGCCAAATCCCAAATATTTGGGACTTTTAACAACATATACACGATGCATGCAACCTGCATGCATGTAGATGGCTAGTATCAGAGATTGTGAATGCATGATGTATGCATGTTGTTGGCAGTTGAATGTGAGGGACCGTGGGAAGTGTTTACGTGTAAGTGTGATTGCAATAGTTGTATTATTTATGTTATTTTTCTTTTTGTTATAATCAGTTTCTATTATATGTGCTCTTGCTATTTAAGCAGCCACAATTGTTATCAAAGCAACCAATTATTATTTCAGAATAAGAGTACTTTCTCACCAGAAGAGAAAACAAT